AAAAGTACTCCTCATTGGAAAGTAATTTTTGGAGTCTCAGCTTACACTCTTCATAAAGAGCCGGAATCATGGTGCGCGACATTTTATGGCGACTTGGCAGCTCATATTTTGGGTTAAGCACACCAATAAGATTGCGAAATCCTTGGTCGTCCAACATGTTGAATGACTGCAAGTCTTTATAAAACATTTGGCATAAAATGGAATCTATGTATTGCCTTTGTTTTGGCGTAAGCTCTTGAGCACCAAATAGAGCTTTAATTGTTGGTTGACGACACATTTGCTCTTGCTCTGCACAATCTTCTTCCTCCTTGTTTTCCGGATCTTCATTTTCTTCATTTGAATTGATTTGAATCATTTCAAACGCAGGATATTCTGTTGCAGCTACCTTCTAATAAATATATTTTTGAAAATGTTTTTATAATAAGTTAACAAAATAAACATGTGCGCAAGTACGTACCTTTTTTGGCACAACACTTGTTGGACAACACAACACTTGTGTTTGTGCAAATTACTCGTTGACGTCTTATACGAGTACTTTTCCTTGCAAATATTGCATTTTGCAAATTTGTCGTCGACAGCCTTGAATAGGGACCAAATTTCACTCGTTTTTTTATCCATTTTAAGATAAGGTAACAACGTACACACAAATTAAAACGGTTTTTGTAAGTGAGGCCGTATAGTTGCAAGTTCAAAATAACAGCCAAGTACACATCAGTTTTATAGTTCTTAGCTTTGTAGCCAGTACGAATGTAACAACCTGAGTACAGGCCTGTGACAGAGTACTCAGCTTCTCGAAGAGTACGAATATAACAACCTGAGTACAGGCTTGTGACACAGTACTCAGCTTCCCGTCTAGTACGAAAGGAACAACCTGAGTACAAATCGGACAAGACAGCAACCATAAAAATACAAAAACGGTGCAAGTTTTTGATAAGACAGTAACCATAAAAATTAAAAAACTGCAAGTCTTTGATATTTATTAAAAAGTATATCTTCGTGTAAAGTGTATACATATTTCGCCATCAACAATGAACCAGTCATTTGTTATATCGTCGCAATAATCTCTTAGTGAAATTTTCGGTGTCAATCTTTTGAGTAAACAACGACCAAAAGTAGACCCATGCTTTACTATCCGTGCATGCCATTGGATGATTTTTGTCGCTGTTACTTTTGAAAGGTGTAACGCCAGTAACTAGTTACTTTTAAATACTTTTAACAGGTTGAGTAAATATGGCTCATCCCTAATATGTATATGGTACTCTTGGTATATAAGTCAAGCGTGGGATATGCTCCATCAGTTAAACGGCCAGCCATTGAGTAATAAAGAGAAAGAGCTGAACTGACACTCTGAGCTTTTTTTACCGTTTTTAAAACCACGAGACATAGATCGAGTTGGTCCGCAAACGCAAAATCAAACCCAAAAACAAAGCTCATTTACCATAGGAAGCAACAACAAATCACTTGCAAAACAACAACAGCGTCCACGAAACCCAATTTGTTGATCGACAAGAGGTTTGTGAGCCATAATGAGGACATAGGACACTCAGTGCTAAAAAAATTGACAAAGAATGCCACTGTGTGCTTTGCGGACTTCTTGTCGTTCCTATAAGGCAGCGCGTAGAAACAACAACAGCACAATTTGGGTACCAATGTTGTTGTTGCAGAGCCGAGTCTCGGCGCAATTAGGGAGAAAATTCAAATGCCAGCAGGCCATGGCATTCAGATCAAAGGGTTACGCGCACGGCGCCCAACATCATATGGTATGACGTCACATTTAATAGAATTTTATTTCTTGTGATGTTTTATATATTTCTACCTTTATTACGTACATTTAAATAACTTATGAGTGGGGTCTTTTATAGAAAATAATTTGTAGACATATGTAATAATTTTATATACGAAATGATCGCACATAAAAAGCCTTGAACTGTGACGTCACATGCGCAACAGAACGTTGCAATCTTCTTATATTCATAGACTTCCCTTGGCTTGGCAGACACATACATATATGCAGATTTGCACCAATATGCGGTGATGAGACACACAAAAACAAATATTTGGCGGGTCGCGGCATTGATACTCGTTTTTATAAGAATGGTATATAATTTATAAAGAAAGCAATTATTATTGACTGTACTAATAGTTGCACATTATATACAAAATTATATTTTTCATAGGCATTCAATTTCAATGTATATATAAGGTGGTGCTATTTGGTTACATCACTTGTGAATAGTTAAAATACCCTATTTTGAGAACAGGTGCCTTGCTGGTCGAAAAATGAAAAATTATACAAATCTGCCGATCTGCTTGCAAGTTGAAAGCAAGTGGCGAAGAAGAAGACATGACTTTGCGAATTATAGGCATAGCAGTGCTTAGAAACCAAAACAATGAGTTAGAAGGGTGCAGAAGTTAAGATCATAGACTGTAGCCTCAAACAAAAAGGGATAGCAAGGACAGAATTCGTGGTATGCTTTTTTCATTGTCGAGTCGTTTGTTTTGATTATGGTTGTTGTTGGTTCTTATGCAAAATGTTTTGAAATTGTCATTGAATTGTGGGCATCGGCAGAAGTAGCTGCAGACAGCCGGGTGTTGTGTTTGCAATTTTTGTTTGCAACCTCGTTTTCGCTCAGGAAGTATTTCTAAAAAGAGCTTTTGATCCAAACGCCTGCTCTTTCTCTTGTGTCGCATACTTACATATGTATTTAAAGACAGGGTGTTATTTAATGCATATACACACTGCAGTACTTTCGGATGAGGACTTCGTGGATATAAGTAGGGAATTTGGTCTTGACCCGGCGCGGGCTTGTCGAAGAATTGTGCATAACCATTATACAGATAAGTTCTCGGATAGTTGCGGGCCACCAAAGTGCACAATTAACATTCGACTGATATACACGATACCATTTCATAGCCCCCATCGCAGAGTATCATATTACTAAAGAGGGATTGTTACCGACACGGTAATCGAGCTGCTGGCAAGTAAAGTAATCCGGCCTAGCAGTTCACCGTATGCGCCTACTGTTGTGCTAGTTAAAAACAAGTGGTTCTAGCGGGAGCATCCGACTAGGGAGTACCCTTAACCAAAGACAATACAAAGACTAAGATGAGTAACGCCATACAACAAAATGCTACTATGCAGCTTGAATTTTTGAAAATTGAGAACGAAAACGAAATCTGTATCAAGCTAAAAAATATAATGTACTCTCAACTTCGGCTCTATGAGGGCCGTGCAAGCAATTATGTTTATATGCGTGTGAATATACATACATAACAGCAAATTTGAATGTGTTGTTATCAGAGGTCGCAAATAACAGGCAACACTTATTTTCAATGCGATCTGCACACAAAAAAATCGAAAAAAACGAAGCAGATTCGGTTTCGCTCTCCATAGAACACTTATTTTCGTTGCGCCTGTGTACTCTGTTCGTGCTTCTGCTTGAGCAATACACACTGTTCTGTCTAACAGTAACATCTTAACAGAACTCATTCGGCTGATCGAAGAGCAAAACGAAAAGTGTCTTTTCTTATTGTTGTCGTGAGACGATATTAATGAAAGCTAGAGCTAGAGAGAAAGAGGGCACGATGTATGTGTGCATATGCATATATTTAAAGCTATAAGCAAACACCCATTCAATAATTAATAGTTTGTTTATAAACGTTTGTTTATATATGTGTATGTGTATTTTTATTATATCCTGAACCCATTAAAAATGGGTATAAGGGTATATTGTATTTGTGCAAAATCCAAATGTATGTAACAGGCAGAAGGAAGCATCTCCAACCCCATAAAGTATATACATATATTCTTGATCAGCATCAATAGCCGAGTAGATCTAGCCATGTCCGTCTGTCTGTCCGTATGTATGTGCCAAAGGATCTCAGAACCTATAAGAGCTAGAGACTGAAATTTTAGATGTAGATGCTCCTAGTTCCCGCGCAGATCGAGTTTGCTTCCGGTAATCGATAACTTACCCCGTTTCCAAGCTATCGATAAAAATCGATATCGACATCCTGTTTTTTAGCAAATTGGGTAAATAATAAGAGCTAGAGCCACCAAACATGATATGTTGCTTCTAGAATATTATAGATATTTCAAGTATCTTTCATTTCATACCTATCACCACCTCCCCGCTACCACCCCAGAGCTATAAATCAAGTTAATAACCCAACTTTTATTGCCAACCAATTTAAACCACAATTTAAATGCAATTGATTTTTTCAGAATACACAAATATTTTATGGTACAATAAGATATACTGTAGAAAATTTCATAAAGATCGGTTAAGAAAAACCAAAGTTATATGTAACTGCACAATTGAATGGGGCAGCAGCTTTAAGAATTTCTGTGTACATGTACACACACACATTCATGCGCGTCTGCTTCGCATTCTAATAGCATGGTAATTGCATCTTTTTTTTGTAATGTTATTTTAGTTCCTTTTTTATCATAAGTGCTTAATTATTGGTGTGGCTGCTGATTAGAGGCATAGCAAGTGGTGCGGTCTGTCGCGAGTTCGAGCCCTACCGGGGAAAGTATTATTATTATTTTTTTTTGCTGGTGTGGCTGTTGAGTAGAGTCGACAGTAAGTTGCAAACTCGAGCCCTGCCAAGGGAACTTTTTTTTATTAATTTATTTGGTGTTGGAATAAGAGGGTTCAGGGTATCCCCTAGTCGGGAACTGCCGACTAGAACCTCTTACTTGTTTTAAACATGTATGTCTAAAGGGAAGTGTGAATATTTCTTGGAGTCTGCAAGTACAGAGCATCCGTTAGTCCATACTTCGAGACTAGAGAACATTTTTAATTTCATATTGGTATATTGGTTTTGTATGTTGACGTTAGAGACTCGAGCGTAGAGAAAAATACGTGCAACCGACCCCAAGATATTCAGTTTAAACGGGGACACCTAACTTACTAATGAAATAAAAGTAAAATAGGAATTAATCAGTAGTTAATGTTTTTATTTTTTGTTGCTTAAACTTGTTTTACTTATTTGCATAATGATGTAAATTGTACTTTTAGTATAATGTATAATGTTCATGTGTCTGAAAGGGCGTTATATGTTCGATACCTCGAAAACTCGTTTCCATTAAGTTGCAATTTATTCTGCCACCGATGACGTCGTCTTCTTTAAACTTTTTTTTTTGATTTTAGCGTTTGAGTATTACCGAGTTGGGGGTTATTTAATATATTACTTTCTGTTATTTTCTATTTTCCCCCCTGTAATATGGTAATTAAGCACCATTAGAAAATTACGTCATTTGTTGCCGTATTTTATTGTAGAGTACCAATTAAATGTAGGGGGAGGCAGCTATTTACACAAATCAGCTGTTTTTAACCCAAGAAGTGGGGGAAAAAGAGAGAAACTACCTTAAAAAAGAGAGCGTATGCACTTTGCGGGTATCAAATCGTAAGCTTTCCATGCAGAGCTTAGCGAGAGGACCTGCTCACAGCTTTAGAACCAAAAAGCTTGTCAATACAATTCCGAAAAACAAGAGGCGCAACAGAGTTCGCCGTGTCGGGCTCTCTGCTGTGCTTTGATTCCGAAAAAAATGCGTGCTAGCTGCATGAAAAAGAAAACTTGGTCATTTTATCGCTCAGTTAGGGTCGGGTTTGCAAAACAACAGCACAGTGAAAACGGATACAAATTTGAGCGAAATATTGACATTCAAATACCAGCGCAAGAGTCAAAACAATAAGCGGAGTATAGACAATAGCTCTCTCTATATGGAATATACTAAAAGAGAGTTAATTCAAAGGAAATCAACAAAATACAACACGGTAGCCATCGAATAATTCATATGTAACACACATACAAATATCCATGTATATATAAGCTTAAATGCTTTATCGAAGCCTTTAAAAGTGTAAAGAAATTAGAAGAGAACGAATCAACGTGTGAAATTCAAGATTACCTGTGTTTCGGATTTATAAAGTGCTCCCTTTTAAGTTGATTTTGTTGTTACGTACGGATGCAGTAAGTGAGTTATGTAAAGCGTGTTCGGGGAGGTGCATTGAGAGAGAAACGCGAATGAAAGCTATGACGATAATGATATGCAAACAGATATAAGCATCACAAGCGGGGTTTTAAAAACTATATGATTAAAATAATCAAAGAGAATTTTTAAGAAAATCAAGTATTTTAAATGGAAACTTGAATATCATAAGTTTAATGTGATGGTACAAATATGAAAATAAATAAAAATTCGGATAAAATCCATAAAAGCAAATGAAGGATATTTGAATAAAAAACAAAATATATAATTGAACATAAATAAACGAAATAATTTTAACATTCTCCGAATTATTAAAAAAAACCCGTTTTATTTTATTCGTGCCGCACTTAAGTCAATTATAATTGCATAAATAAATCATTAAATGTGACCTGGATTGTTGATTTGTCAACAACATATAGGCAGCGTTCAACTATCTGTTGTATAACAAATCCCTATAAAAACGCCAGTTGCCGTTAAATGGAGTCCGCCGCAGACACCAAACAACCCTCTCTTGAATCATTTTCATTGCCATCGCACTATTTTTATTTTTAGCTGCACTTTTTTTAATATGAGTGTCAAGGTGCAGTCTGAAAAACAGAGACCTGGCGAAGACCACATCAACTGTAACGACAACAACTACAATTACAACATTACAAACACGAATAGCTAAGATTCCGCGCGGCCACCGCGAAACCGACACAAAAGTTGTTGGGCAAATGTGACAGGCACAACGAGACCGATGCGGAATACCGAAATCGAAACGAACTTAAAGGTGTCAATAAAAACCAACTAATAACAGTAGCATGAAGAACGGCAACAGAACAATAACAACTGAAACGAGTGACTAAACGACAGCGAATGAAAAATAAGCAGAATTTATGTGTTCCGATCTGGCTAATAGACGGATATGGCTAATGCGATAATAGGGAAGGTAAAAAGAGTGGGGCATAGGCGGTAGCACGTGTTCGGCTTTAAAGTAAGTCGAGTAAGCAACAGTAATAGAAACCGCAGCAGGTAACAGTAAGACTTAAGTGTGATTAACCTATAGCGTAACTCACTTTGAATGTTAGTGCCTACGTTTGTTCGAGAGTATAGTCGAACACAACAATAAACATTTGCTGGTTTTCGAGAACTGTGAGCAATATTATATGTAATTTTAACATCTTTATTCCCACCTCAACGAATTTCGTAAATTTAATTTATGTTTAATTGCAAGAAACTAAAATTTTCGTCATCGAAAAAAAGCAAGAGAGCAGAACTGTATTTGGATAATGATAACAAACACTGTAAACAAAATGCAGATCAATATCCGCTGAAAACGTAGTGGGATGTTGATAAGTGGGATAAGATATGTATGTGAACTAATTTTGATTAGTTTGCTTTAATAGGAGCTATTCAATATATATGACCAATGTTAACGGATAAAGCTTGTAATACCAATGTTAAAATAGAATATTTTAAACATCAAAAATGTTAAGTTTAATGAACTCAATATTTGATACAAAGGTCCGCCCGAAAACTCAGATTTCCACATTTGCCATTTTGGAAACAAATAACTCCACTATTCAGGAATGCATTTTCCATGTAGAAAAAAATCAAAGGCCATGAGTAGAGGGCGCAACTTACTACGTGACTGTTTGTGTGCTCTATGGCTCGGAGGTGGGTACTATGTAGGTCCCCGTATGGTCCATGATTAGTGATTGTTTGCTGTATTGTGTATATATTCTGAACATTTTTGACCGTAAAAGCTTAAATGTCAGTGTGGCATTAAGCTTTGAGGCGATGCTCCTGTGAATGCAAGTTCAACCCCGACGATAAAACATGTTTTTTAAAAATGTTGTTACCATTGCACGTTAAGTATGTGAAAATTGCGCGGAAGGTGCTTCAGAATTTCATTTAAGAAGGTTTAATTTGTTGATAAATGAAACCAAGGGCTATTTAATGGCAAGCTTCACCGGGCGTGTACCTCGATTTCCGGCCGATATTGTGCATAATGTTTCCATTGCAGTGGGAGAAGATGTTTCAGGGTATCTTCCAGTCGGGCACTCCCGATTGGAGCACTCTTAACTGTTGTCTTTTGCAAACAAAAAAATGCTTAGAAAAGTTTCAATTGCTGCTTACACTTGGTGAGAGGAATTTCTAAAAAGAAGTGAATCATGTATCACAAAGTTAATGTTAACAAAATTGTAGCAGGGTCGGGTGAAAAATAAAAGAGTTGTGAAAGGTTACTAAGGTAAAAATGTTTCCAAACTCTATCGTAGTGGTCTGGGGGTTGATTACTAAACAGTCAGATAGTTTAGACAAATATATAAATATGTAGGTGATTCCAAAGCAAACTCATTACAAGGTCTAGCTAGAGCAGCGGCTAGGTGTGCAAGGCTTAACTTACAAGCGACCCACATTTACTTAAATAGCGAGCTACACGCAAAAGCAATGAACTAAAAGCCGCACACGTTGATTTCTGAGACCTGGCCAGTCGCCAGTCAGTCAACCAGTCAAATCATTCACACAGCTTTTGTCTGATGGGCTGCCTTATGAGTCAGCCTAATTTCGCTCAGATTGCGTGTTAAGCTGAGCCTACTCAGCAATAAATATGAGCATTGGTATGGAGTGTTCAGCGTACATGCGCGCAAGATATGTTGCATATTTTCGTGCTTGTCGTTGGATATTATATACGAATCAAGTGCATTCAAATACTTACATTCTAACAAATGGGTAGTCTCAATGGAAGGCAAAACTGTTCTCCAGCTCAAGTTTCGGAATTCCAAACACTCCCAACAGTGTCCAAAATCTTCCTGAGCGCATATAGTATACTCATTCTTTATCAAATGCCGAGACCATTTGTCTAACAGTTTCTATGAAAATAATGAAGTCTCACTATTTAAAAACATCATCAGGAATAATTAATATTCAATTTTTTCTTAATTTTGTTCGTTTTTGAAAACTTATTAGCTTTAGTTAACAGTTACGAAGTAACAGTATCAAAGTATATCGTAAATCTGAAAAATGCTGGAAGTGTATTTAAAAGTCTGCATGCCTATCAATTTTACTATATTTATACCCTGAACTATTAAAAATGGGTAAAATGTTTATAATGGGGTTGGGCAAATGCATAAAACAGGCAGAAGGCAGCATTTCCGAACCCCTTGGTCAGTACCAATTGCCGAATCGATCTAGCTACATATGTCCGGCTGTCTTTCGGTATATGTATATGAACGCGCAGTACAGTACCCACGTTCGCCTGTCTGTTTCTTTGGAAATATATATATTATAATATTTGTATATCTTGACCAAACTCAGCATTTATTACATATATATAAAAGCAAAATCTTATCCAAATCGGGACAGTATAATTTATATCTTCAATTAGAATTGTCGGTCAACAATTTAAATCTTGTATAAAAAATTTAAAAATCTAATCAAGATCGAACTCCCACATCATTAAGCTTTAAAGAAAGAATCAGCAAAAAATTAAATGAAAAAATGTTATGGCAAATTTTAATATTGGTAATATTTTTTGACAATAGAGTTTGATAGAATATTGTGACAAACAATAACCCTTCTTTTTGACCGATCGTTCCTATGGAAGCCATATGAAAAAATGGTCGGATCCCATTTAGAAGTATGGTTTTTCACTTTGTAATATAAACACAATTAGATGCTTTTTTACAATTACAATTACAACTTTCATTTTTTGAGGTAAAGCCTTGGGTTTTGGTATATACAGATATTCGGATAGTCATTTTGCGTCCTGAAACTTTCATATATATCAGGCAAAAAACACCAAAGATATTTAAGAACACGTTTCCTGTAATGTGTAGCTGGGGAAGAAGACCTGCTCAGCTTAAAGTGTGCGTGTATGAGTATGTATAGAAAGAAGGTTTACTATGCATTTGTAATGCCGGGTTTGCGCTGGTGTCTCATGTCGGGTACTCTCTCTCTCTCTCTCTATATCTCTCTCTTTCTCTTCTTTTTAATTTATCGTGCTTGTTTGGATTCAATGTATTTTGTGAATTTTTGTGCTTTGGTTTATTTTTAACATTAGTGCACATTCAAATAGCAGTGAAATGACTTGTTGCAATGTTTATAAGCTATTTATACCCTGAGCATATTAAAAGTGGGTAAAGGGGATATAACAGTTTTGAGTAAATAAAAAAAAGTTTACCAATATTTTTGAAAATAAGTTCAAAGCAAAAAATTTGCAAAAAACCTTTCCCGCTAATTCCACGGTTGCAGTTAGAAATTTAAGGTTAAAAATAAATTTGAAGCAAATCGGGCAACTAAACTTGCGAAAAGTATGGAACACGTCTCAAATGCTTTTTCATAAAGATGTTTGGCAATGAATTTGAACGCAAATCTTCACCCACCTTTAAGTTTTTCGCGATTTTTCCACACTTACGGGCGGAATTTCCCTAAACGGATTAGCATGCTCCTCCACATTAGACAACTAGATAGAAAATTTCAGCATCTTAGCTCCTCAAGCTTGGATTGCGCGCTGATCACTAATCAGCCAATCATAGAGAATAATAAACAGTTCAATATTATTTTTGAATTCGATAGATTTCTACAACTGCATAAAAAGGATTATACAGGCTTAAATGCGTTTAAAGTATATAGGATTTAGAATCTCCAATAATAAGTATATACAATTTGTAAATATTTACTTATTTTGCAAACAGCATGCATTTCCCATGTTCTTGCGATAATGGACAAAGAAACGCAGGCGCTTATAGAAGTAGAACAAGAATTTTTATTTTGACAGCTTAGAGCTGGTTACAGAGTGTGTCCTAGTCGAGTAATCCCGACAAGGTACTCTTGCATTTGTGAAACTAATTAGATTGATGAATAAATATATATTTACACGGTTGCCAAAACTTGGCACCAAGCTATATACAAAACACCATAGTAAATACATTTTTCAATGCAATTCTTTACTCTTCGTAGCATTTATGATGCTCACCCTGCCCGTCTTGACATCTCT